ATACAAATCTCATTAAGTACATGTTTAATTTACATACTTGCTGAGTAGTTAAAGATGTGTTGTTTTTGTTTTATAATACAATACATTGGCATGATAATTTTTTAAAACCACAATTCACACTTTAACTGATTATCTGTTTAAAATTTCTCAGGATCAATATTAAATATTACAAGCATCAATACTGTGCATGCAATTATACCAAGGTTCAAATATGTATTGTTCAACAGTAAGGTTGATTTTGGGGGCATTGAAAAGTGTGTTTAACACTACACATTTCTACATTTGCTAAGACTTGCCTTCTCTATAACCTACAACATTTGGGTTCAAGTCAATCATTCAATGTCTCAGTGGCAGGGCCACAACATTAACCATCCACTATCCATCACCCTTACTAATCGCCCCACCACGAGTACACTCCTCATCACTGACCAGCTCCTAACCCACCTCTTTCCAGCCCTGTCCTGCTGGCAGTAAATCCTCTCACCAGCTAATTGAATGAGTGCACCTGGCGCTGCTTCCCAAAGATCCACAAAGCGAGACTTTGATGGACAGCAGAAAGTGGCGCCACGTGAAAACAAAGCCTTCAACTGCGAGCTGCGAGCTGCGCTTTGTTCTGCTCAGGACTGTAAGGTCACTCCAGCTCATGCCAGCTGTGGTGAGCATCTTCATTTTCGCTCATCCGACTTGCTTGCAGCTGTTATTCTTTCCAATATTAAAAGTTCAGCTTCTCGAGGGTGAGGAATTAAGAAAGTGCTTCTTGCAAACCAAAAGCACAAAACGCAAGTAAAATCTGGCTTGGCTCTGAAGGAGGAGAAGTTATTTTCAAAGCCCATAAATTATGACATAGTGCTTAACATGTAATTTAAATATATTTAAGCAACAATTATATCACATTTCCAGCCCAGCTAATTGGCCTCACAGATGTTCCCTTGGAGCTGTATTGCCCTTCCGTGGGGAAATGACGTGCTTTTTTCATGGAAACCAGATAAAAAAGCAAACCGAAAGAAAAATGGAAACAGAAACATAAAAAGCAGCCAGTAGCCCTAAAAACAATGAACACTAAGGGTTTTGTGTAGAATTTGTTTTTGTTTTAATGCTGAAAACGGGAAGAAGAAAAAAAGTGTGAAGACACTGCAAGACTGTGATGCACTTGGTGGTGTGTACAGAGAGGGGGCTGGCAGGTTGCTGATGGAGAGACCTGTCAAAGCAGGGACAGGGGATGCATTCTATCAGACAGAGCCTCGCTTCCTGTCTCAGAACAAGCTAACTGCAAAGTCCAGTTATTTGCGGTATACCACCTTTACAGCTGAAGGCATTCTATCCCAGAGAATGAAGACAGATAATGAACTGTTTCCTCATTGAGAATGGCTTGTGAGTTGGTCCTTTGATAATTCATCTTTCAAGTTCTAAAAAAAAAATACAAAATGTACAATTAACACTAGCTGTAGCTGTGATTCAAATTGAGCTTTATACAGTACAGGCATTTTTGTTAAGTAAGAGGTCAAAGGAGCACAGGTAACTCCTAGTGTTTTAGAATCCTTTGCCTTCTGATATGTAACTGCAGACACGGAATGAACCCACTCCAACAAAATCATTCTTTTGTGCCTTGTTTTGTTTCTACTTCTGTAATCTCAGGCAATAGCTGATAGTTCAGTATAAATCCCAAAAGGTCAGTCAGTGTCCACATCTCTTCTGGTGTACCATAGTATTTCTAATATCTAGCAGTGACCAGTCATTTTATTGTTAAGATTTAATTAATATGTGCTAAATACTTGCTAATTAATCAGGGCTTATGACAGTCTGGGGTCTGAAATGTTATAACAATTCAGGCCGTTCTCACACTTGATTTGCGCCACCCCACAATTTCACAAATCACTGAACTATATAAAATATTCCAGTCTCAAATATTATGAACAACTAGTATTGATTTTCTGTCTTTATAAAGGACAGCAAATCTGCCTGTATTTGTCATGACTGGAAAACAGATAAGCATTAAAAATGCATCTTTGACAGATACCTTTGACAGGATTGCTTGGTTTAAGAACTCTGATTAGATGACACGAATACATACACGTTATATAAGAATACACTTATATAATACTGCAGCATGTAATTTGTCATTCCACAGAATAAAGTAGAAAACGAGGATGAAACTGGGGGGGTCTGATTTATTTTACAATTGAACATGTGTGATTAGACCCAAACCGTACAGTTTCTAACAGGACAAAATAATGTGTGCATTATTAACACACATTATTATGTGTGTAATAACAACTCCTCAGCATTGAGTCTTAAATATATCTATAAAATGGTGCCTATAAACTGCTAAATGGAGCAAGAAAATATGAAGCATATACACAATTGAATACTTTTTGACTATAAAAATAGCTGAGAACTTATCATTTGAAAAGACGTAGCTGGACATAGAAATCTTAGTCTAGGTGAAATGGCAGGCACAGACTGACAAATTCCTCACGGCCTCACTCACCCCATGTGTAATTAGAGAAGGAAATGAACCTTGCTCTCTGTGTTGTCCCAGCTCTAGGGTGCAGTGCAGCATAAATTCACTGTAGGACTTGTTCTTTGACCAATCTGGAAAACTGCATTTGTTAAGTGAAATTGCCTTCTCCAGTTGCTATTGATTTACATTAAATAGTTATTATTCATCGAACAATCTTTTGAGATTGCTTTATAAATTTCTAAGTTGTAAGAACATTGATGTGAGATGATAGGTGTTTTATATAAATGATAGAGGTGGCTGGAAGGCATCCTTAGTCATCTCTGCTGACTTACAATCAGATGTAGAGAGCTGCTTCACAAACACGGCTACTTCTGCCTGCTTTACGCCTTGTCCTCTATGCCAGAAAAGCAGAGAAAGTCTCACCACAGGAAAAGCTGTACTCACTTAGTGTCTTTAATAATGAGTGAATACATATGGGTATATTTTTATATTAAGGAACAGACTTGGGATTCACGCAGCCATCCCTCGCCCCACTCTTAAGGAGCTGTGTCCTTAACAGTTTACCACATTTTACCTTCACTTTTATGTAGCCTAAAGGATAGACTATTAAGTGACAAAAATAAAAAAAACTTTTTATTTGCCAAAACCTGGCTGTGAGTCCTGGTTGTCCTACTACATAGGAGGAATAGAAAGTGCATGTCCACTAACAAATTTATTTTTCAAGTCATCTTCTTTTCTTCTTTTGTAAGAAGTAAGGTAGAAGATACAAGCGTGTGTGGTTGAGAGTGAGTAGCCTTTGTGGCACTGGTGAAAATAAATGTAGCTTAATAGAAACTATTTCAGACACACTGAAATCTGCGGTCTGTCTCCTTCTAACCCTCTCCCCCTTTTCTTCTTGTAAGGGAACAAGCTGGGTTTTTTGATGGTTTTTGTTTTTCATTTTGTTGGTGTTGGTGTTGTTTTGTAATTATCCTAAATAGCGTGAAGCTACTTTGGTCTCTTTTTTTGATATATCAAATAATAAACTCTCCTTTGTTTTAAAACACAGTTTCATTATTTCTGCCCCCCCCCGCCGCATCCATCTTCTATGGTTAATCTGAAAAAATGATAGTTCTTTTGTCAGTCTTATTTTCTTTTAAATCATTAAAATTTTTACTTTTTCACTGTGTTTTCCTTTGTCTGGAGAAGAATTTGTGCTGAAATTTGCCAACTTATGGTGAGAATGAGTAAAATTTGACGAGCTAGGAAAATCACTGTTGTGCACCACTTTCCCCTATGGCTCATGCGAATCGTATCTTTTCTTTCTCTTTTTTTTTAATTAATTTTCATCCATGTTGCCTCTTATTATATCCATCATTCCATTTTTCTTTTCTATTAGAGTGAAATTGGACACAGCCCTCCTCCTGCCTACACCCCCATGTCGGGAGTAAGTATTTCACGATCAGCCTTCATCTTTTAGGATTTTTGGTCTTCTCTTAACTGTGTTTCTTCTCTTGTCTCCCTATAATTTCCTCATTTTTGCCTTTGCCAACAGTGAGTGAGTCATGAATTGCCAATAGATCCTGTAGTTGCCTGTGTAGGTGGCTGTATCTCAGGTGGCATTCTGCAGCTGAGACATCTTACACCAACATGAGTGTTCAGCGTTTATTGGAAGGATTTACTCAGTTCATGGATTATGCTTCTGAGTCAAGATTTTATCTTCAGTCTCATGGCGGAAGGTCATGTGTTGTAAAGTCTGAGTCTCAATGACTGTCCATTATTAGGTATTAAACACTCGAAGTCAGAGGACCCAGAGGGAGGGAGGTAATATTAATAGCATTAGCACATTGCCATTCATGATGCTTCACTGTACTTCTGCACTGAAGACTATTGGTCTTGAAAATTTGAGTTTCGTAACAAAATCAGGCAACTGTAGAAAAAGAGCACAAACTCTTTTTATTAGATCACACTCTAATTTCTTAGTAAATCTAAAAATTAAAGTTTTAAATTATTTCCACATGATTATTACTTATTAAGAAAAAGTCAGGATGGAGAAGGCATTGAGAAGATGGTTTAGTTGAAAATTGCTTGCTGCACAAGCATTATGATTCGAGTTGGATTCCCACACTCACCCAAAGAGCTGGACATTGGAGTTCCACAACAGGAAGGTGCAGAAATGACATCCTGAGGGCTTCTTGGCCAGCCAGTATGGTCAAATTGATGAGTTCCAGGTTAAGTGAGAGACTCCATCTCAAGAATTAAGGTAGAGGGATATAAAGGAAGACAGCCATCATGGACCTCTGGCCTCCACCACATTCATGGATATCTACCCTCACACATACATGCACATGAATGTGTGTGTGTGTGTATGCACAAAGAAAAAAAATAGAATTTTAAATGTTTCTAGTACTTACCTCAAATTCATTAGCCACCTAGGAAAATAAAAATCTTTAATAACTAAACTTGAAAGAAAATGTGTTTGGTACTTAATTTGGCTAGTATCCTTATACAATTTTTCCTAACAACTGATCCTCCCAATATGTTCTTCTTATTTTAACAGAACCAGTTTGTGTACCAGGATGGGGGCTTTGCTACACAACAAGGAATATCCATGCCCTATAGAGCCACAACCAACACTATACCAGAAGCTCCAGTTGCTCAGGGAGCAACAGCCGAGATGTTTGACGACTCCTGCTGTAATGGTACCCTACGCAAGCCAGTGGCACCCCATGGCCAAGAGGACAGCAGCACACAGAGGTACAGTGCTGACCCCACAGTGTTTGCCCCAGAACGGAACCCACGAGGAGAACTGGATGAAGAAGGCTACATGACTCCCATGCGTGACAAACCCAAACCAGGTACATGCTGCATGTTCAGAAGTGATTGTGCTCATGGATCACCTCCATCATACAAGCAGGGGGTAGGAGTCAAGTGTCCAGACAGCCCAAAGGTGTAACATTTGTGATCTATAGTGGAAAAGGTCCAGGCTACTACTATTACAGAGGAGTTTTCTGAATCAGTGGCCTCTCTGTACCTGAGTACTTGTTAAAACGGTCAGAATTTCAGGCTCCACCTAAATGAGAAATTGGATTTTTTACAAAATCCTTAAGTGATATAGGAGCACAATGAAGCCCGAGAGCACCAATCTAAATCCATCTTTTTTGGAAGAGTTGAGTGACATAACATGATGCTACAGGGCCTTGGCACCACTGCTGTGTTTACCATGGAGGTTGCAAAGAACTAAATTTTCTGACATCAACAATAAAACAGTTAAATCATTTCAAACATGCAATTTCACTAACCTAACTTAGGGTTAGAGTTGTGAATCATTATAGAGTACTAACACATGAGAACTTAGATTTAGACTGACCCCAGCATCACAGAAAGTAACTCAGTTTATCACAGGAAACTTTAATTTTGTGAGCGATTCTTCAGAAACAAAATTTGATTCTGGATGTACTTACAAACACTACTGTCTTGAAGATAGTTTGTGAATTAATGGCTTTGTAAAACTTAAACATAAAGGTTAAACAGCCCCGTTAAGTAATATTTCAGTTTTGAAATAAAAAACCTCTTTCCTCTTATGCTAGCTGTACCTCAAAACAGAGACAATGAATAATTGTTATTGAAAATAGTGACCATGATGATGTCTTTCAGTATCAGCAGCAGGCCATAAGTTAAGACTGTTTAAAATCCCATTATGTCATCTTTATATGGCTCTGTTCACTTTCTATGAAACACAGGTCACTGATCCCTGAATACATAATGTAAATGATCTAGCATGATATAATAAAGATTTTGATGACTATTGTGCAGAATAGATTAGGACATTAACTGGATGATAGGATGATAGATAGATAGATAGATAGATAGATAGATAGATAGATAGATAGATAGA